TAGATGAGAATCAACAATTTTTTTTTATTTTTAATGAAGAGCACTGCACTGCACTGCACAGATGTGAGCCAGAGACAGCCAACATATAGCTACTAGTCAACAATTTTTTTTTATTTTTAATGAAGACTGAAGTCATTATTTTTCCTCTGTAGAAACAGGCTTGTCTCCTGTGCAATTCTATTACCTTGATTAAAATTGGATAAACATATGGTTTATACATAATTAGGTCATTTCCAATTCCATTGAGAGATTAATGTTGTTCACCACATTTTGGAAAAGTAGCCATAGTTGGCACACCTGCCTCTCTGACCATCCCAAAACCCCTAATAATTAAATTGAAGAATTAATCTATATGTGAATTGAATCAACAAAAGTGCAAGTCATGAAAAAAGGGCAATTTCCCTTTGAACTAGCACATCATAAATTTGTTTTGTTATTGCAAAATAATCTATTAATTACATTTTTTTTAAAGTCAAACACATCTATAGGTAAAAGTTCCTTTAATAGAAGAATTGAAAACCATTAGCAGGAGGATGAGCTCATGACAATTAATAAGGTCCATGTTTGGTTAAAGTCTTGAGTTAATTTCCAAACCTAGGATAACAAGGATCATCCCCTTTTAAATCCTTAAATAGTAGGGAGGTTGGTTTGCAAAACCTGCTACCTTGGTGGATAAGTTAAAGCAAAACTATGGATGGACAAATGCACAATAAAATAGTTGGAAACTAGAAGGAGTAGGAATTGGATTTTACCTAGAGAAATTAAGATCTGAGGAGAAAACGAAAAAAATAATTGGATTGAAACTGGAACGAAAGTTTTCTCACTTGGAAATGCTATATGAGAGGCAAAATGGAGTAAAATGTTCATCACCAAATTTAGGTAATCATCGGTAAACATCATACTTTATTGAGAAAGCTTACCTAATAGTTACTTTTAATGGGTATGTCCTACTATTAACCAAATAATTTAATGATAAAGTTATCATAGCTTTTAGCCACAAATTTAAAATTTAATATCATCTCTTACTCTCTTATCATACTAAAAAAATTACTACTTCCTAAATTTAAAGGAAAGTTTTATTACTTGAAAATTGCATAGGTAGACCAAGTTAAAACATCACCTTTATCTCATATTTTTTATACTATCGAGATAAATAAATATCAAAATACTGTTGAATTTATTTTTAAAAAAAAAAGAAAATTTTTTTCTCAAATACCAAAAGCTTATAATTAAGATTTATTTATGCATAATTTTTACTTAAATTACTTACATAAAATTTTTATTATTTTTATTATTTATTTTTCTATTATAAATAGTTAAGATTTATTATAATTTTTTTAAATAAAAAATAATTATTTTTAAAAAATAAAAATAGATAAAAAGTGAATAAATTTTTTATAACTTATTTGGTTTAGGAAAAGTAAAGAGAAATAAAGGGGTATTTAATATTTAACTAGACTAATTTCATGAATACTTATAAATCTTCATCTTTTAGAATGACGCATAGGCATATCCGATTAAAATTATTTGCACCTAAGTAGCATTCGATGGATTTGAACCTATATTTTTAGCATAGTTAGATTAATGACTCTAACCGTTTAAGCCAATCTTAATAGGTTAACATATTGGTGAGATGTTCCTCAGGATTGAACTAGTGACCTTTAGTGTACAATTAAACCTAATATAATATAGCCACTGCAAGTCTTCAACACAGCAATTCGCTGATTTAGTTAATTAAAATTTTAAAATTAAAAATTAAAAATTAAAAATCTCAAATTTAAAATAACATGGAGAGATTTAAAAAAGGGATATTCTAAAGATGTATGTTAAACCTTATTAATTGTAATATTTGTAATTAATTTTGTGAAAATTTTATATAAGATTCAAATAAAATGTAATGTAAAATATAAAAATATAATATAATATAATATTAATGCTTGAAGATTGTAAAAAAATATAAATTTGATATAAAAATTTATAAAAAAATTAATTAAAAATATTTTAATTAATGAGTTTTAACTTATATCATTATAATACAAATTAGATAAATTTTTTTAAAAAAAATTATCTTATTTTATATAATTGATTATTAAATGTTAAAAAAATAATAATAACATAACAATTTCTCAACAATTTTTTTTAATAAGTGAATATTAACTCCACCAAACGCTTCTCAATTCTCAATACGAAGATCATTCGAGTTGGGTCAAATATTTTAGCCCTTCTTACCAATTACAACAGAATTTTCAATGAAAAAAAAAAATCAGAATCAATATTTTGTTTGAAGAAACGTTCCTAATACGGCGGACTGGACTGGACTGGACTGGACTGGGGGAGTGTATGCGGCATGCAGCCTGTGGGTTGGATGTCTGTATCCGTCTGTCACCATCAGATAAGGCCGTAATCTCACCGACAGTTCAGGTCCCATGCCTTGTTGAAAAATATTATAGGAATAAAAATAATAACGAAAATGTGAGTCCAGATAGTTGAAACAATAGGCTTCAAAAACAAATCTCCCCTTGAGATTATAGCAGAGAATTTAAATTGTGTAAAAGGACTATAATGCCCTTCTGTAAAGTCGATTGCAGCTATTAGGTTCCATTGAACCCAGACTCGAACAGGTTCTAAAATGGCTCAATCTTAAAGAGAACGCTAGTCAATTTTCAAATGAAAATTAAGAGT